CAAATATAGTAAAAATTTAAATATATTTTTTTTAAACAGAATTTCAATCACTTTGAGTTAAAAATTAAGTTAGGTAAATTACGCATTAACTTTTCATCTGTTTTTTTGTTTGATGAAATTCAAATTATTATCAGAAAATATTATACAATAATAAATTAATATCATTTATTGAGTAAGACTATACATATAGCTGTTTTTATAGAATACATATCTTTAGCACTTTGAAGTTTGAACTATATGGTTTTAATACTTGTATTTAAGTAATTTATTAATTTAATTGGATTTTACACCTAAACATGTGTTTCTTTGGTTTTTAGAATTGCAATATGGAAATACTTTGTAAAATCATGCTAATAAAAACGATTAAAATCATATTATGAATCTTGATAAGTTGAATAAAATGAAGTACATTTGCCATGTCAAAATAAACAGTTTTTGATTTATTGTATTTGAAAAACGAATAACGATGTACCTATCTGTCTATATAATATTCATGATATAATAATTGTAATATAAATTTCGTTATTACCATTTATAACTTTTATCAATAAATGCTATAGTATTTAAGTAATCTCATAATAAAATCCGAAAAGTCACCACCTTTTTATGTGGGCTTATTACAAATAATCAAAATCAAGATTTTTAAAAATATAGGTGGCTTCTTAAAGCAAATCAGATTTATTAAGTATTTTAAGAAGTCGAAAGCCAAAAACGTCTAAAACTAAATTTTATAATTAATTAAAATAAAAAGTAGGAAACAGGGGATTTTTAAGCAACTAAAATTTTCGATAAAATCGATTTTATTTTTTTAGTATAGTCAAAGATGAATAAATGTTGATACTTAATATATTCACTAAATGTCTATAATAGTGTGTTTTATTTAGGATATCATTTTAAAAAGGTTTAGAATTTTTTTTTTTTTTGAGTTATTAATGAGCATTAGAAAATTTTAAATGTTATTTGAAAATTTATCAATTTTTTAAAAATTCCACCAGAAAGCCAAATAATTTTATATTTGCATTTTAAGCTCAAATTTTTATTACATTGAATGTTCACTCATAAAAATAATTTTTTCTTTTCAAACAATTTTTGATATTATATTGTTGTATTTCAATAAGGAATAACAGTTAATACATAAGATTTTCACCAAATGTTTATATTATCATTATATTATACAACTTTCAAAATATTTCAACTCTTTTTGAGCTATTTAAAGTCATGAACAATTTTCAATTATTTTAGTTTTTTTTTTATTATTATTATTGATAAAAATTATTTGCTGGTTTAAAATTTTTGAAAATTGTATACAAAAACTCATGTAAATTGTTCTTATTTCCATATAAAAATATTTTAAATATTTAGGGGCTATTGTTTTTATACGTATTTAAAGTTATAATTTTGATAAAATTTGTCAAAATTACAAAAATTTACAAAAATTTGCATATTATTTTACAGTTAGAAATTCATAGAAATTTTTTTTTATTATAGCTTATTTTTAAAATTTAATACAAGATTCCTAATAAATAATTCATACTGAAACTATAAAAAAAAAAAAAAAAAATATAAGAGTTGTTATTTTTTTAGAAATTTTAAGTTCAAATTTGAACGAAATTACTTATTTAAACAGTATACAACGATTTTCATTATTTCAGAATATCAAATTGTTATTCTTGGTAACTTAAGATTTGTACGTATATTTTTTTTCCATGAATATTATTATATGCAATGATATTATATATTTATATAATTAACCTATTTTCAATATTTTACTGTATTTACATAAAGATGTTATAACATTTTGATTTATAAAAGTTAATATACTGTTTTATATATATTATAAAAATTAAATAGAGATCAAATAATAAATCCAATATTTTCGAAATAAATATATCATGCTACCATAATAAATAATAATAAATGAAAATAAATAATTTTAATAGTTATATCGGAAAAATATACCATGAAATATACTAAATGATATACATAGGTTGATTGTGTCTCCGTTAAGAATAGTTTTTCGTGTATAATGGTGTATCATTGACTTCAAATTTAACATACTTATAATAGTGACTCACTTGACACTTAAAGTACAACAAAATAGTATCAACTTGCTTTTTAAATGTTTAATTTATGAATTATATTATGTGCATTAAATGGTTTTTTTTTTTAACGATTTTTTTTTGAACAAATTTATTTTAAACGTTATACAATTATTTATAATGCAGTACAATTAATTATTTTAATAATAAAAAAATTTTACCAAATGGAGCCATGTAAAATTTTTTATTTAAAAATAAAAATTACACTTGATTTAAATATAAAATATATAGTTTTATCATGGTTAGTAAATAGTTACGTGTTATTGTTTTTTTTTTTTATTTTACTTTGAAATGTTCTATTAAATAATAATAACTAAAAATAAATATTAAATCATATAATGCTTAGAAGCGTTAAGTTACGGAAATAACCAAATACATACGTAAAATATTTAAATTGTTTTTTTTTTTAATTACTCAACTTAGAATCGTATAATTATTATAATGACAATAATTATTTAAATAATAATTTAATCATTTATACTTATGTTAATTTTTTTCTAGTTTATTATTATTTTTAACAAATTCAGTAATACTAATTTTCAATTAATTATTTTAAATGACTCTTTATGAAGAATAATAATTGTAATTTGTCGCAGATTTTTTTACAATTCGGAGAGAGACCTTGTAAACTGAAATATAAACTATTTAAAAGTTTGAATTTAACTAAATTGATTCAATGGTTTAAATTAAAAAAAAATTCAATTCAACTATTTACAAGTGGTGTTTTTTATTAAAAAAAATTATTTTCCATTTAAAATTAAAATGTTGACAACATTGACGAAAAGCGTCGAAATCGGAAATTATTTAGTAAACAGATTAATGACCGTCTTCACTCAGAATCGTTTTTTAACATAGTAATGATTTCTCATAGAATTAAAAATTAACACAGCCATAAACAGTGACATACACAATGACAAGGTATACTTGACAAACAGCACTAACATACAGTAAAGCAACTTTTCCAATATCTTTGATTATTAGTACCTACTTTGTTTTGCTATACTATATTAATAAATTATTTAATATTTAACATTAGTCATCAATTATTTTATTATTATAAGTTATTGAGCTTTTTTAATTTGTCTTAAAATTATTTTGATTATTGTTTACTGATTGGAAAAGTTATATTTCTATTGAGTTAAAAATTTATAAAAGTTGATAATAATTAAAATTTACAAAATGACAATTTATAAGTAATAATAATCTTGAAGAAGAAAAATCCTAACCCAAAATTAATTTGTAATAGTAATAATAAGTGGGTACGTGACTGCAATATGTTTTTGATATCCTATTGAATTATATATTATATAGTCCAAATTTTTGAACATTTATTTCAACCAGATTAAATATCGGATATGATAAAAAGTTAATCCATATTTTAAAATGTTTAATGTATATACAATTAACATAATATTAGTAATATACTGTTTAATTTTTAAACAGTAACTATTCGTTATCTTGAAACATATTAATGTTTTTTGAAATATATTTTGTAGTTATTGAAATTATTTTATATTTTTACCACTTTTTTCGACAACGTTTTTAATTTTTTGAATATACAGTGTATAATTAAAAATGTTTATCATCAATCAAAAAATTATAACGATAAAAATCAAATATATAAAGAAACATTTTTAGAAACATAATACTTTTCCAAAAAATTAGCATGAATTTTAAAGAATTGTCCTATATAATTTGACTGAATCGGCTAAGTATATTTATTCTACCACTAAAATATATAAATCTATTTGCATGTTATATAATATAACTTATAATTTACAAATAATAACACTTTTTATAGATATAAAAAAAGAGAAATAATTAAAATATGAATGATTAAAATATTACAGTGATATTCAATCACTAATTATAAAATTTGAGTAAAATTAGTTTATTTGATACGACTGAGTTTTTATTGATATGAGTACAAGTTATTGAAATGCACGTTAGATTGAAATGTTCATATGGTATTATAATAGGTTAGGTACATATAAAATATTTTTGGGATTAAATACCAGAGTATTGACAACAAAAATATTTATTTAAAATTAACAAAATATGAATTACTTAAAGACATGGACAAATGAGACAAGAACAAAATATTTTATTTAATGATTTTAATGTTTTTTATAATTTACAATAAAAATGTTCAAATATGTTTACGTTACATTAACCTTAACCAATAATATGGTTATATATAACTAAGTTGAGGATTGATCTCTGAAAAAATAATATATTCTTTAATTTGAATTAAACAAAAATATAAATTTATATTTTTGGTTTGAAATTTCATACTAGTGGTTTTATCCAAATATAAATATTTTCATTTCATTTTTCTAAAATAAAAGATTTTATCTTTCTAATAATTGTATATAATATAAATATTTCTTTAAAAATTATCATTATTGTTGTTATAGCTTAGTCTTGTACGCGACTCGTCATAAATCATTATTGTTATTATTATTATTTACCTATATTGGGTATATTATACGCAACTGAAATACTTAACTGTGCATGTACCAATTATATTTGCATAGTTTCGTTATACAAATTCCTACACGTCTTAATTGCATCATGGTCCAATCGCCGTATGCGACTTTGCGAGTGCAATTTGACAGCAGATATATCAGCGGCCTGCACCGATGAATCTGTCAAATTAACATTGTATCGTACGACCGTAGAGTGGTAATACATTTGTAATTTTGGTAATAGATCACGGGAAGCATTCATATTATGATAACATTACAAACATACAATAATTCTATTAGTAAGTGAGTGTGCGAGAAAAATATCATAAATTATACGCACCATGGGTACGAGCGAAATGGAAAAGCATCGCCGCGTCGGAAGTGGGGAGGAAGCAGAGGGCAGCAAATAGGTAATGTATAGTGACGATAAATTAGCAGTCTTCCGTACCTCGTGGATACACGATTGTTTCCATAGTCGAGTAGCGTAACAGTCACAAGTCGAACGTCTATCATCGACGACCGTACACATACGCGTATTTTACAATTCCAATGATCTATGATATAATATTTTAATCTCGTATTTTTTACGCGACGTGACCGCGTAACTGCTGCGCTCAGGGCTACAGAACATAATATTCAGCTCTACCTAAACAATACACATTTCAACGTCGTACGAAGAATACAACTTAATAAGTTGTTGTACCGCGTGCACGCCGGCCGCAAACAGTAGTTTTATATACATATACACATATATATATATATATATATCTGGTGTATATATTTATAACACATATATATATATGTGTGTGTGTGTAAATTATATGAGTGTGAGGTTTTTATGACGACTTGACTGATTTAATTCGTAACTTAAAAATCTGTTATACACCTCTACCATCGATTACAAGACATTTTAACGATGTCATAAACCAACCGCTTTTCACGATTTTGGAATTCGATACAAACAATATAACACATCATGTATCCGGCAAAACGTCACGATTTCAAAAGAAAGGTAAGAAAATAATATAATATTATGAATGTTATATTATATACGTATCGAGTATGTTTTTTAACAAATAGACCTAATATTGGTATATTATTTGTCTTTAAACATTTTTTAACTGTTGCTATGCTCAGATATCGATGGCACCTCGTCCAAATTAGAGATATGAAATGTATTAATTTAAATGTTAACTTAAATATCTGTATTATACACATAACATATTATTATTATGGTACCTATATCTTAATACGACAAACAATTTAGTTGGTTCTCACAGACTTTTAATGCATGTATTAGTTGCAGTACCTACGATCTAATTAATAATAATTGCAGGTAAAAGTACCTTACCTACTTATTACGATTTAGTTTTTATGTTAATACTTATACACAATTTTAAATTATTTGCATCTGAGAATGATAACAAGACAAGTTTTTGTCCGTGTTTTTATGATAATCGGTTTTTAATTTTTATTATTAGTTTTTATTTTATTCAAAGTATATATTATGAGCATATCGATGTGAGTTTATTTCATTTTTCTGAAAAATATTTAAATATGTAAATTATACATGCCTGTAAATATAACTAATGTGTAAATGTTTAATCCGTTATCTAGTTAAGCTTACATAATTTTTATATTAAAACTAATAAATTATTTTAACCTTGTATAAGGTAGACGTATTCAGTAGGGTTTAAAGATCGGAACTAAAATTCTTTTTATTATAAAGACCTCAATCAATTTAGTGTTTGTTGAGGTACAAGGATCTATATGAATCCTTTTCATAAATTCACTGTTAAATGTTTCAATATGCAACATATTTATTCAAATTTGATAATTTATTAATCATTATTTTATTATGCTGCCGTTAAAATGTATTTATTACAACTGTGTATACAATAATATATTACTATTTATAAATATGGTTGAGGTTTTAGTCATATTTTGCGTGCGTGTAAATTTTTTCTAGTATATTTTTTACAAAATTAAAGGTACATGAGTTTACCTAATACCTAATACATTTTTTTGAATATATTTAAAGCAATTTTTAATTACAATTAAAAAATATAAATTCCTATTTATACCGATGTCACATTTTTGAACGAACTATTGCATAATTTTTTTTATATTTAATATTTTTTATCACTGTTATTTTAACTGATATATTATTTTAGTCGAATATCATAATACAACATTGTTTCTGGGACATTTGCTGGTTTAATATAATAGAACAATAAAAGTTAATGTGAACCTCTAACAAAAAAAAAAAAATAAAAATATTTCATCATCTATTGGTTATATACACCGCAGAGTATAAATATTATAATTTTTGAATATGCAGATGGCGTTTATCAAAATTTGTTCATAATATTAATCAAGTAATGTAATATATGAGTATTAATAATAGATATTTTCTTGTAAAAATAATATTTTTCTGTTTAAAATCATAATATTAACTATGTACATAATGTAAATTGTTTTTAACATTTTCTAATTAAACATTTTAAGCTTAAAATTTTACTGTAAATTTTTTTTCTTTTTTCGTTATAATATTTAAATATTATTCTCATCGTTACATTAAATAAAACGTAACACTTTTATTCAAAACTCATAAAATTACCTAAAGATTTGTGTGTAAATAATAGTTTGTATTAAATCAATTACACCTATAGCGTACAATTTATCATTGAAAAATTTCTTAGATATTTAATACTATATTTATATCAATATATAAAATAATATCCATTTATGAATCATTAATCTCAATTAGTATTTCAGTTTAACTACAATTTTTCTCAATGTTGTAAAATTTAAATACAAAGAAACTAATACAGTGCTTATAGTTGTGTACAACTATCTTGATTATACTTTTTAAATGTTTAATTCTATATTTATTTTAAGAATTTTTTTTGTTTGATATAAAATTATAACATATTCATATTATATTATTCTTATTTGTGTATCATTTACTCGATCAAGAAAGTGTGATGATTTTTACTACTATAATTTTAATTGGGCTTAATAATGGATCCCGAGCATAATATTATCCATTAAATTTGTACAAGAAAAAAAAATTGAACAAGAATGTAGTGATACTAAACATAGTATTAATAACTTATAAATATATAACTATTTATGTATGTGTATAAATATATATTTTTAGTTATAAAATAAATAATATACCATAGTGTCAATATAGAACAATTTAAAATTAAATACGTCGTAGAATGACCAATCTCAACGTGGATGCAGTACAGGTTAGGTTATGTTACATATTATTTTATACGCCACCGAGTAGGGGAAAATTAGTCCCAGAATTTTCATCGAACTCCATTTTTAAATGACCATGCTATAGAGATTTAATTTTATTATTATTGTTAATTCAACTATCTATACACGTATTATATATATATATATATATATATATATATATATATATATTTTTTTTTTTTAATAACTGAGAATTCTGTTTACAAGATCCGGTGGTTGGTTTGTTCAACGTTTCAGTAAATAAACACAGCAAAAGGGTACTTACATAATATATCGTGTTAACTCCATGTATATTGTGTGTTTAGAAATTTAAAAAAAAAAACTGTACGTAAACATTAAAAAAATAATTGTATACATATTTATTTGAATTGTATATATTGATATTTGATTAACTTCTAAAATCGATTAAGCACATGATTTCTCTAAAAGTGTAAAACGTAAAAAAAATTATATTATTTCTAGTAATAAACGTTATAATAAATTACTATTAATTTGGTTGTCTAGCTTTAACAAAATATTTTATACCTCAAATCGAGCAGTGTAATATTGTTTACATTTATTTATTCAATAGTATAGTTTCTTGTTTTATGTAAAGTTAAATTTAAATAGTATAAATTTTTCTTAGATGATTCATTAAAACAATCATATTATCTCATGCATTTTGTATTAAATAGTATATTGTTGTATAATGGTTATATTGGTCAGTTAATGATATTAATATGTAGTAAAATGATTAGTACATTATAGTAACAATAATGTTAAAATAAAATGTAATTATATATTTTTAAACTGCTTTGATGTAGTTATTATATAAAATAAAATTTTGTTCTAAATTATAATATTTTGAATCTATTTTAGTGTTTAAACACTCGTTTTGGGCAATTAATATAAAGTACCATGCAGAGTTTTTGTTATCCTGTTGTATAATGTAAACGGATATAGTGATTAAGATGAAGAAAAGCAAGTGGGTCAGACATTTTAAAAATAAATTAACACAATTTTAGATTTTGAACGAAACGATGAATGAATTGGTTTTATTATGAAATATGCTTTTTAAGTTGTTTTTTTTCGATTGAAAAAACTTTTTACGGTTAGCAAATGCTTTATTTTTAAACTTTGAAAATGGCTTCTCCAAGCAAATCAAACCTAGTTGGTATTTTTTTTAGGGAATAAAAAGTAAAAAATTCCTAGTATTATAATCAGAAAAAGTAAAAAAATAAAAATAAAAATAATTATAAGAAAAAAGGGGAATGTATACGCAAAACTTAATCGATGTAGTCAAGAACTTTTTTTTTTTATTGTGAATCGAAAACAAAGAACTATAGAGATTTAAATTTTTCACCAAATACTTATATTAATATTTTATCATTTTCTAGACACTACATAGATTTTTAAATATCTTGGCTGTTTTTGTGGTATTTATAGACATTTTAAATTTATTTGAAGGTTTTGTTAATGAGTGAAAAAGCTTGAAAATCTAATATATGATTCCTCTTAAGTTTTTTTTTATTAGAAACTAAAAGTTTAGCATTAAGTCATGTATATTTCTCATGAGAGATTGAACATTTAAAGTATAAGTTTAATTATTTTGTTATACTTGGAAGCCTTTAACTATTACGTAAATTATACCCTCCGACATATAAAGAAAATTCTTGATTATTTTTGAATATGGTTTGGATATTATTATTTATATAAAAATGTATTTAACACTACTAAATGATATGGTTTTGTTAAAAATGTATGTTTTTAACGTGAAGAATAGATTGCAAGAACAGTGTGCTTATATTTTTATGAATATTACACAATTTTTGAATTGAGAATAGAATTATCTTAGAATAATGGAATTATCTTATTGTAATATCAACAAATAATTTATCAGTTATCACATACAGGAATAAAACGTATAGCGAAAATTCAAAAATCAATTTTAATGAAAAAATTTCGCGGTTATGGACACGTTACTAGTTACCGGCGTTGAGCGGTTGTTGTCAAAGTTAATTTAATAAAGGGACTGAGTGTGGTTATTTATCAAGGTCGTTTATCGTGTATATATATAAAAAAAAAAAATTAAAAATTAGAACTCGTCTGTAATGACATCCTTTACAGGACAAAATCTCCCCAAATTAACTTGGATTCGTTTCATATAATATAAAATGTAATTGTTCTTTTTGAAGAATTGCTTTGTCCTCTTAAAATTGAGCAAACACGCTAACGTCTTTAGTTCATCTATGAAAAACGGTTAACAGATGTGTTTTTGGATTTAAATGTCTTTAATTTGAAGAATTGTGTTGTATGTGATGTAGATAATAATCACTGTACGCAATAAATAAGTAATAACAACATAAATTATTTGACATACATCGAGTTATTGAAACGAATATTAAGAATATTTTACTATGTTTACTTATCACAATAAATATTATGGTAAAATTTTCCGGAAAAATATTTTCAAAAATAAAAAGTTTAGACAATTGCTTGAAGTTATTTTAAATTTTAAGACTCATCAAGAACGACTAAAAAGTTTTAAATGCTCTAATACGACCAACCATATAATTATAACAAATATTATTACTTTTAAAATTTTGACATTTTTTTCTATTATATATTTGTTAAATAAATTGCTTACAAATTCATTTTCATTTATTATTTTAAATGTATCATACAGGTTTTATAAGCAATTACGTACGAATAGTACATATAAGGCATTAAGTAACAAAACTTAAAATTAAGCATATTTGTTTA